GACCCGGCATCCCTGCCCAGCTGGGGTGGGCACCTGAGCTGTCCCCATCCTCAGAGACCGACGAGCTCTCGGTGTCCTCGTCTTCCGAGCTGCTCCCCTCGTTCTCCGCGTAGTCCACCTCCATCTCATCATGATGATTCGTCTCCTTCTTATCCCCTCGGGAATGGACCGGCATTTTCCAGCCGCGCCGTCGCTTCCCACTCCCTACTCCCAGCCCGGCCACTGCCGCTTCAGTGAAGGGCGCGCCGAACGCCCCGGACCCGCCGCCGAGCTCGCACCGAAACCCTCGGCTCCTCCCCACCCCCGGCCCGGGCCTCACAACCTAACCCGCAGGCTGTGCGCTCCGAGCTCTGCCATTGGCCAAAGTTGTCCTGGAGCTGGGGGCGGGGATTATCTCGTAGACATACGATTGGCTTCCCGTGATTACGGAGCGGCCTTCTGATGTATGTCGGGAGTTGTAGTCCTTAGGCCTTAGAGCTTCAGGGGCTGTGGGTTTCTAAGGTCCAGCTGCCTGAATCGCTTCTAACTTCGGACTTCAAGTCCCACAAGGCAGGAAAGCTGACATACTGGAACGCAGTTTATAAACTAAACAGAAACAGATTGTGCTGATTTAGTCAGTATTTATCCTTTTCCCGCCAAGTGGTTATCTGATCTGCCTAGCTACGCAAAATGTGAAAAGGTCCTTTGCCTGAAAGGGTCTTTCCTTTCCGAGCCTGGAGAGCTGCGGAATCGTCTCTTCTACCTTAGTAGTACATTTATTACCGCGAACAAACTGTTAAATTGAAATGTAAGTATAAGAAATAAAAAACTTGTGCTTTTTAATTTTCACAAAGAAATTTTAATCTTGAAATTTTTACAGCCAAAAATACAGAGGGGAAGGAACTTATATTTCAATTTAGCATATTTTTGCATATTTTTAATGAAAAATGCCATCAGTTTATTTGATTTCAGGCTCCAATGTAAAATACACGTTTGACTGAAAGAGATTTCATATTTTTACCAAGACAGGATACACAGACAAGTAGGACGCAGTAAGTACTGTGATTATTGTAACTCATAATAGGTGGCCTCTCGCTTTACCTCAAGTTGTCTTGGTAAGCTCATTGCACGCGTTAGAGGAGTTGAATTTTCAGTTCAGTAGCCCTGAAGTGGAAGTCATAATTATATCCATTTTGTAAACAAGAAATCATTTCCAGACAAATCTTTAAATATATTTTTCGAGACAGGGTTTCTCTGTGTAGCTTTGGAGCCTATCCTGGCACTCGCTCTGGAGACCAGGCTGGCCTTGAACTCACAGAGATCCACCTACCGAGTGCTGGGATTAAAGGCGTGCACCACCAACACCTGACTAAAATATATTTTAGGTTTGGAGTGGTGGCACAAGTTCAGAATCATCCTCAGCTACTTACTGAATCTGAAGCCAGCGTTGTCTACCAAAGACCCTGGCCGGGGGCAGGAGGGTAGGGGAGTAGTGAAAAACTGTATTTCCCCCCTCATAAAGATAAGAGCAATTTACTATTGAAAGGTATTTCACAGGAGCTAGAGGAGCGGCTCAGCATTTAAGAGTAGGTTCTACTCTGCCAGAGGACCAGAGTTTGGTTCTCGGCACCCACATCAAGCCTCACATGCACATACCCACACAGGCTCATGCATAACGTTAAAAATAATAAAAAAAATGTTATTTAAAAATACCTTTTCGGGGGGGGGGGCTGTAGAAATGACTCAGGGGGAAAAACAGCTAGAACTCTCTTCCGGAAACAGATGGAAGCAGATGCAGAAATCCACAACTAACCATTGGGCCAAGCTCCTGGAGTACAATCAAAGTGAGGTGGGAGGGGCCAAGCTCCTGGAGTACAATCAAAGTGAGGTGTGAGCAGTAATAAGAACAAAAGAGTCAGGCATGATGGGGAAACCCACAGAATCAGCTGACCCGAGCTAGTGAGAGATCACTGACTCTGGTCTGCCAAATGGGGAACCTGAATAAGACCAAACTAGACTCCCTTAATAAAGGTGACAATGGTGTGACTGGGACAACAAATGAGGCCACTGGCTTTGGGTCCAAGACCTAACTCTAATGTACAAACTGACTTAGTGGAGCCCATTCTATATGGAGAGATACCTAAACGAGATGATGGGACAGACTTAGTAGACTTCATAGGGGAGGGCTTACCCTCTCCTAGGAGCAGATGGAAAGTTGGGAGGGGGGACAGGAGGAGAGGAAGGAAGGGGAAACTGGGATTGGAATGTAAAAAATAAATTAATAAAAGAATTAAAAAATAACCCCGAAAAAAATAAATGGCTCAGATTCAAAAAAAAAAAAAAACAAAACAAAAAAAAAAACAAAAAGACCTTGTTATTGCAGGGGAAATGAGTTCAATTCCCATATTTGTTTAATGATGCAAAGATATGTTGCATTCTTTTATGTTGTATTTGCTTAACTCTGTAAAGCTGTGTTACTTTGCCTGCCTGAAACACCTGATTGTTCTAATAAAGAGCTGAATGGCCAATAGGCAGGTGGGCCTGGGAGAGAATAAATAGGAGGAGAAATCTAGACTAGAGAAGACTGAGAGGAAAAGAGAAGAGGTCACCAGGAGCCAGGCACCCAGCCAGCCATGGAGTAAGAAAGAAAGAAAAATATAAGAATAAAAAAAGGTAAAAAGCCCAGAGGCAAAATATAGTTAAAGAGAAATTGGACAATTTAAGTTTAAAAAAAAATCTGGCTATAAACAAGCCAAGCTAAGGCCAAGCATTTATAAGAATAAGTTTCCATGTATTTATTTGGGAGCTGGGTGGCAGGCCCCCAAAGAGTGCTCCCCCCAAAAAAAAACTACACACTAAGACACATAAAATTAATAAATCTAAAATAAATGTTTCAAAACATTATTTTCATAGAACAATAGAACACAATGCATCACACAGCATTTCTTTCTCGAGAATGAGGTCTAAAGGCATTTCACCAAATGTGATAACAACATCCAGACATAACTACTTTGAAAGTTAGATTTGTAATTTAATGACAGAAAACATTTCAAGAGCTGTCCATTTCCTGCATGATAAAGTCCAAATTAGACACTTCTATTATTTTGTGTCAATGAATCCCAGTCTATCTGTCCAAGATAAAAATCTACAGAAAAGCCCTCTTTATGGTTGCTAAGGGCACAAGCTGGTTCTCCCTTCCATTTCTGTGCACATTGAATTCTCTCTCTGAGCCCCTCCCTTCTTTTATTTTTCAAAACCCCTTTGTTGACAATTCTCATCACCACCACCATATCTACCATTTCAGATGCTCTTGTGTTCCACCAGGCTACTGCTGTGCTCTGTGCTTGGCAACACTGTCTTTTTTTTTTTTTTCCTGCCAGCCTATATTCAGCCAGTGTGAGTCACCTACAGGATTGCATTCCTTGGGAACACCGCTTGTTTTAGTCAAGTGTGAAAATACAAGGGCAAGAAGTAGACAGGCCAGTTTTGTGTGGGGACAGCTACTATGTTACAAATTATCCAGTTGTTAGGATCCAAGAATTTTAGCCTACCAATATCAGGCCTTCCAATTTTCTAGAGAAACTAAAGTTGAGATTTCTGTATGGAATGCCAAGATAGAAACACCTTCTCAAATGAAGATTTTTATGAGCATATCTGTTGAGATAGAGGCTTGTTGGCCTTGAACTCATATCTTTATGTCAGCTTCTGATAGCTGGGATTACTGGCATGCAACAGCCCTCCTGGCCTAAAGTTCTGCTTCTTAGATACAGATTAAATAAAAACAGCCATGGGGTGAAGTCATAGTAATTTATATATATATAATATATATATAATAATAATAATAATTTCTGTTATTATCAGTGACCAGAAGAATGTGTGCTAAATAGTGCTGAGATTTCTGGTTACTACAAATGCCTTGTATGGTTATGTACCTTAAATAAACCAGTTCATTTAGTCTCTACAGCAAACCTGACAGTTAATTTTACAGATGGGGAAACTGAGGCACAATGTAATTGAATTACCTCACCAAGGTCATAGAGGCAATAAATAACAGATCTCAGATTGAGCTAAGCAGTGTGACATCAGAGCTTGCATATTCTTGGCATACAGTGGTCCTCAGGTGAGTGCTTCCTGCTTCTGCTGCTCAAAGATAAGCAGAAGAGCCAGGTATGGTGGCATACACCTGTAATCCTGGTAACTCCAGAGGCTGACACAAGAGATTTGCCACAAGTTCAAGGCCAGCTTCAAACAGAAGAAAGTTAGAGAGCAAGAGGCATGGATTCAAGCTCTGTTTCTCTAATAATAGCCCAGGAGTAAACTTGGCAAAACACAAATTTATGGTTAGTTATAAAATAAGAAGTTAATCTTATCTTTAAATTCCTTTCAGAGTCTAAAATTTTTGCCATAATCTGGGAAGGTAACTCAGCGGAGAAAGCACTTGCTATGAAACCATGAGGACTGGAGTTCAGATATCCAGAATCCAAGTAAAAACCAGGCAGGCACAGTGGCCTACCTGTAATCCCAAGGCTAAGGAAGCAGGGACAAAGAATCCTGGACTATCTAGACCAGCTGGATCAGTGAGCTCTGGGTTCAAGAGAGAGACCCTGTCCCAATGTCTATAGAAGAGCAGAATTGAGGAGGGTTCTCAACACCAACCTCTGGTCCCCATGTGCACCTGCAGACACATGTGAACATGCATACCTGTCCTGGCTGGTCTTATGTCAACTTGACACACAAACTAGAGTTGTCTGAAAGGAGGGAATCTCAATCGAGAAAATGCCTCCATAAGATCCAGCAATATGCAGGCAAGCCTATAGGAGATTTTCTTAATTAGTGATTGATGGAGAAGGGCCCAGAATATTGTGGGTGGTTCCATCCTGCGTGGGCCTGAATTCTATTAAAAAAAAAAAAGAAGCAGGCTGAAAAAGCCAGGGAAAGCAAGCCAGTAAGCAGCACTCCTCCATAGTCTCTGCATGAACTCCTGCCTCCAGGTTCCTGCCTTGAGTTCTCTCCCGTCTTCCTTCAGTGATGAACAGTGATGTGGAAATGTAAGCCAATAAATCCTTTCTTCCCCAACTTGCTTTTTGGTCATGGTGTTTCATCACAACAATAGAAAACCTAAAACAATACCATACACACTACACAAAAGAAGTTTTAAGTTTTCGTAATTGCAGTCAGCCTTAAATTAATGTGTAAGGCAGAAAAGCAATAGCTCTCACTAATCATCTGCCTATAGTGATTCGTTGTCATTTTAGTTTTGTGTAGATAATTTTATTCCATTCCCTTTCCAATTAGGTTCATTCTGACACAGTAGACATGAGTAAGT